AAAGCTGACTGTGGAGAAGGAGCAGCACTTCCCCCACATGAGAGAACCATTCTGTGATGGAGTAGTGGTGAATCACCCCCCAAAAGATCACAGCATGGGGCAACAGAGACGAAGACTAATCAATGGACCAGAGTCTGGTTGAAGATAGCACCTGGGATGAGAAGGGAAAACAAGGGCCCAAGGTTGTGGACATTAATTCCAACCACCTAATTGGATCCCCACCTTGTGATCTACAACCCACAGAGAAAAGAGAGCTGAACATGTTTCCCATCTACCAAAAGGAGCAGGACACACTTTGGCATGAATTGCAACCATAGTCTGGGGAGGAATAAATAGCCAGCCTTTAGTGTAAGTGAAGCACCTCAAAGACCCATAGGCCCTAAAGCTAGGCATAGGAAATCATCTGTCTGGATCCCCAAACTGCAGATCATGGAAAGAAACCACTCGTGGAATAACACAGTAATGTTTTCCTCAACTCAATTCTTTTTCATTTTTCCTATTTTTAATTACTTTTATTTTTTCCCTTTTTAAGGATTTAGGGTTTTTCTCTTACTTTCTCTTATTTTCATTTATTATTTGCCTTTTATATTTTTCTCTGCCAATTTTTTTCTCTTCCTTCTTTCATCTCTTGTTTTTGCTACTTATCTTTTTTCTTCTTTCTTTTGTTTGTTCATTCCAGTGACTGTTCTCTATCACTATTAATTTTCTTTTACTCCTTAAAAGGACCCCCGTTATACTTTCTTTCCTCCTCATATCCCATCAATTAACTTTTCAAATATTTTTACTTCCTCCACTTTTACTAGAATAACTACTAAGCTTTATGAATCTCTAGATAAATAGTTAACTTTACACTATTGCTAACTTTCCAGTATTGGTGTTGAGTAATACTGTGCTTTTCTTAGTAGAGGTAAAGTTTTCCCATTTAGTAGCTATTTAGTGTAGGTCAATAGTAGGAGGATATTTTGTTTATATTAGTGCTCATCCTGTAATTATATATCTTTTTCTATGGACAAGTCTAGTACGTTATTGGTCCTTAGATTTTACAATATTCAGTTTGTATTTAATGCTATAATTGATGCTGATTTTAATATTATACCAAAAGTGTTATAGCTGTTGCTATTAATTGGCTTTCTTGTGGGGCCAACATGTAGTTTGCTGAGGGGTCATTAACAATATTGTGCCACATTCTGGGAGGACTGGGTCCTGGGCCAAAATGCTGTAACCTCCCATCTCATGTAAATGGAGGCGGTTGGACCCTATAACAGAAGCAAAGGCGAGTAGTTAGTGACATCCAGAGGACACCACTCAAAAGTGGACATTAAGCAATGAGGTCTCCATACTAGAACAAAACACTTTCCACTACAATAATCCCACAAGCTTCAATGTAAAACAAACAAACAAAAATAGTAACATGCAAAGACAAGGCAACAAATGCCTCCAAAAACTTCCAACTTCCCCAAATCTGATTCATGTGACATCAAAGGGAGGAAATCAAAGCTTCACACCCAAATTATTTGAAATGATATCAGAGGATATAGCAAAATAGTCCAATATGGCAATTGGCAAGATCACAGAAGATACAAGTAACAAGATATTGGCCCAATTAAACAAAATAATAACTAATAGAAAAGATAGAAGATAGAAATAGAAAAACTAATAGAAAGACAAGAGCTAAGCAAAATATTGCAGAACTTGCATGATCAACACAGAAAAGAATTAGAGTTCATAAAAGGACTTCTAACAGAAATTTAGGGGATTACAAATTATATTGAAAGTAATGTTGGAAGTGACCCATGTGAAGACAGTCTCAGGACTAGCAGAAGAGCTGTTGTCAGTGACTAATTAATGAGAGACATCTTAAAAACAACAAAAGGCCATGAAAATTGGATCCAACAAGTCCTAGATAATCCAAGAAAAACTAACCTGAGGTTAATTGGAATAAATAAAAAAATCAAAAGATAGCATTAAGGGCATAAAAACCCTGTTTACTGAAGTAATAGCTGACAACTTTTTTCTAAAGAGGATAAAATAATTTAATATATAAATAAGTGAGGGATATAAAACCTCAAATAGCCACAATCAGAAAAGAACTTCCCTATAACACATCATAGTTAAAATCTCAGAAGTCCAAAATAAGAATAAAATCTTAAAAGCAGTTAGAGAAAAACAAAAATTCACTTATAAAGGAAATCCAATTAGAATTGCATCAGACTTCTCATAAACCTTAAAGGCCAGAAGAGCTTGGAGTAAAGTGTTTCAAGCTCTAAAAGAATATAATTTTCAACCCAGGCTGGTCTCTTCTGCAGAAGTATCTCTCAAAATTCAATTAGAAAGAAGATACTTTCATGATAAAGAGCACTAACGAAATTCCTGACCAGCAACCTAGCACTCCACAAAATTTAGTTTTTCACAGAAGAAGTAAAAATGACCAATAAATATGTGAAAAAATGTTCAACATTGTTGACCTTTAGAGAAATGCAAATGAAAACAACACTGAGATTCCATCTTACCCCAAAAAGTATGGTCATCATCAAGAAGTCAAATAATAACAAACGTTGGAGAGGCTGCAGGGCAAAAGGAACCCTTCTACACTATTAGTAGGAATATAAACTAGTACAAGCACTATAAAATCAATATGAAGATTTCTCAAAAAACTAAAACTAGAAATTTTCTTGACCCAGCTATTCCGCTTCTAGGTATCTTCCCGAAAGTTAAAGGCATCATATTACAGAGATAGATGCATACCATTTTTATAGCAACACAATTCATAATAGCTAAATCTTGGAAGTGACCCATACATCCATCAACAAATGAACAGATAAAGAAAATGTGATATGTTCATACCATGCTGTACTATGTGCCATAAAGAAAGATAAACTTCAGTCATTTGTAGGAGAATGGATGCACCTTGAGACCATAATGTTAAGTGAAATAAATCAGACATACAAACTTAAATATCACATGGTTTCTCTTACATCAGATGCCTAGAGTAAAAATAAAGAGCAAAATAAAAGATAAATAATAGAAAGTAGGGAGATAGATCATTCTCAAAGGGGAAGGAGTTCATGAGATAGAGGGTAGGGAGAGGGAGGGAAGGGATAATGGATGAAAAAAAGGAACTGTGATGTGTTATGTAGAAATACCAACTCCACACAAGGAATGTAAACATTATGTACTGTGAACATGTACAAAAAATAGAAAAAGAATAGGAACAAGAAATGAGAGGAGGGAAAGTGAATTTAAAAAAGGGAATCAAGATGTGTTATGTACATGTACCAACTTTGCACAAGGAATGTAAACGTTATGTACTATACACATGTACTAATAAGCAAAAATTAAACATTAAAAAAGACTAGAGAGAATTTTTCATTTTTTGAATCACCTACAATCATAACATAGTGCTTTGCCCATAGAAAGGGCACAATATATATTTTCTGATTTTGCTTGGAAACTATATTTATATATTGAACCAGTATGATTCTGTTTAGTCTCATAATGCAGATTATAAATTTTAAGTAAGAATGCATTCTTTGATTGCAGTCCTTAGCTCAGAGAGGTTGATCCCTTGAATCTTGCTCTGTTAGAAAATGCAGACTAAGAGGATGGCAACTGAGTATCATGTACTGATGGTTCTAATAAAAAAATCTTTGACTAAAAAGCAAAGAACAAGAAAAATGAAGACTGAATCAAATGATGGTTACTGGGAACCATTAGAAAAAGCATGTGGATTTTTAAAAAGGTGTCTTTCCTGTTGAAAACAAACAAACATACAGAACATCAAACTCACATTTTTTAGGCAACCAGGAAAGGGAATAATTCTTTAGTGACACAATTTATGAAATAAGACCCATAAAGTAATGTAAACCACCAAAGGTGGAAATTGATATTATCTTTATAATTCTATGCATTAAATCATGTGATGTGCTCTGTACTACTAAAGACAAAAGTTGGGAAAAGAAAATAAGAAATTGTAAACTTTGAAAATTCATTGACACTAACCAGGCAATAAAACACTAAGACACTATTTACAATGTGGAGACAATTCTTAGGGAAATAATTCTAAATATGTATATTTTAAGGATGATTTAAAAGTTTTTCAAAAGTGATTTTGACAATATATAATTTGTATCTGGTATGTCAAATTTAGAATAAAAAATTTCATTGAAAGATAATTTTCATGAAAGGGTAAAATCATGAATTTTATATAGATATTAAAATTAACATGTTAAAGATTGTGTGAATTTAACTCAGTGTGGGTACTGAGTTTATATAACTCATTCAATGGGGAGTCCAAAGAATAGATGTATTTATAGATCAGAAAAATTGAAAAAACTGCAAATGGAGGCAAATCTGATTTTACTATAGGAATGGGGTAATGGGGAGAGAGAGAATACAGGTGTATAACTATGGAGAAGAATTCCTTTTCACTGAAGTTGAGTAATTCACAATTTGTAGAATTATCAAACAACACCCTCACAATCAAAATCAGATAATGCAGAAAAGTATGCTTTAGATAAGGTGTAGTTTACCCTGAAGCACACATTTTCCACAGTGCTGCAGTGTGAAAAGACTTGTAGCTTTTTTTTTTTCATTTTAAACAAGAAGTTTATTTAAACAACAAGACACTTGACTTAAAGGGAAAACTATCTAGGATTCTTTTTCTTTCAAAGAGTAATTTACTCCTACATAAAGACAGATTGCCCTACATGTAACAGCTACGTACAAAAAAGTTATAAAATTGTCCTTGGTTTTACAATGATAAATGAAAAACATTAAAATTCTCCAATCAAACAAGGTATGCAAGGATTTTTATGTTGTCTTTTCTGTTAAAACAGTGAGAGCAAAATAACTTACTGGAATATAAAGATAAGAGCTGATGAGCATGCCATTAATGGAGAGAGGGAATTATTTTCACAGAACCAGTATCTCCCCATCCCGTCTGCATCTGATGTCAATCAAAACATATTGTTGGCCATTTAGTTAAAAAAAATGCAATACGCTTGTGCACATACACCAGATACTTTATGTACAATAAAGGAATGGGGAAGGGGTAAATGAAAGAATAGAGAAAACTATACTATAGTAGTCAGGATGTGGTGGAACCAAATTGCAGTTTTCTAATTGAGAGTGTATTCTTGGTCTGTAAGAACAGAGTTCTGGAGTAGAGTTGTTGCAGGTTCCCTTTTTAGTAGACACCTCCTGTCTGCTGCTGGAACACATCAATTGTATCTTCATCCTCCATTTCCAACTGTGCAGGTGTGTCTGTTTCATTGATTGGCTGTCCATCAAATCAGAATCTGATCTGCCTCATCCTGTCATTCACAATAGGCTTTCATTAGTTTACTAAGTGGTGTATGCCTCTTAATCTTAAATTGCACCACAGAACCATCCTGCCCTGCCACCTTCAAATTAATATGATCGTTGTTCTCAGTCTTGACTCCTTTCTTGGGCTTTTCATTGGCCATAGTGAGCGCCCGAGTCTTCTCAGCTGGCGTTTCACAAAAGAGGTACCAGGTCCACACCAAACGAGCACACAAGCAGCTCCAGGAGCAGCAGAAGGAGGCGGCAGCGGTGGCCAAGGGAGCAAGACTTGTAGTTTTAAATGCTATTTAAATAAAATTTCCATGGCTAGAGATTTTCAGTAGCCAATTATACACCTTTTATCTGCAGCATGGTTGTCATAAAACATTAGGGTTAAATAAAGGTGCCAGCAAATGTGAAAAGAAGATACACCAATGACTGGGCGAGAGCACAGGATGACAGCATAGGTGTTAAGGATAAGATTTACTTATACAATTTTCCTGATACTGGTTAGGTTTCATTTTTCTTTTCTTTCCTTTGGATTATTGGGTACCCTTAAGATTGCCTGTACTTTATTCTCCTCAGTTCCTCTTTGAAGATGGATATTTGAGTTAAAGTTTTTGGGCAACTGAAATAAGAAATTATACACAAAAATATTTTATAAATAGAAAAATGCTAAATAAGTGTAAAAGGCTAATATATTATCATAATGAATATCATTTATTATTTAATTTTCTTTCTTGTGGCCTTTCATTGCACTTAAAAAGCTCAAATTCTAAGCTTAGATGAAGTAAATTGATTGCAAAAGTGGCCCAGCAATTCCTCCCAACCCTGTCCACAAAATCTTTTGTAAGAAGCATTTCTTACTCTTAACTACCAGTAGGGAGTCTATTCTCTTTCTTCTCAAATCTTAGCTGGCCTTGTAACTTACCTTAAGGTGATATAGCCAAACTGATACCATGTAACTTCTAGCCTAGGCTCTGCAGCTTCTCCTCTTGCTCTGTTGGAAGTCTTTAACCATGTGAGGCAGCCATCCTTGCTCACTAGGCCTAAGACCTCACTGACAGACACCATCAGATGTATGAATGGACTCACCTTTGACTTGTTTTGAGACCTCGCTGGGTGTAGTAGGATGAATGACACCGGGTAAATTCAAGAGAAATATTGCTCAGCTGAGTACATCTTCAACTGCTGAGCAAATAACTAGTTGTTGTTTTAAGTTACTAATTTAGGGGTCTTTTGTCTGACAAAAATAGGTAACAAAAACTTGTGTTCAAAGTTGGACATAATTTAACCCCTGCCTATCACTCCAAACTCATTCTCTGCCATTTTTTTCTTGTTATATTAGGTTCCACTCACATCAGATTACTTAAATACAGATTTCATATTTGTTGCTCTTAATTTGCTCTTTCCCTATGTTGCCTCAAACTCCCGCATTCTTATTCATAATTTATATTATAATCTAAATATCACTTTTTCAAAAGCCCTTTATTAAGCCAAAGGTAGATAGAGTTTCTTATAGTTCTTTTGGTAAATACTAAGAGACCTCATACTACACCATTTATTTTCACTATAGCTCTTATCACAATCACAATAATCAACCTTTAAAACATTTTCCTTTTTCAATAAATTCTATAAGGGCAAGATCTCAATTATCTTATTGACTGCTGCAAATACAGCTAATTGCAACTAATACAATGCCTGCAGCCCAATGGGTTTTTTGCAGGTATAAATATTTGTTGAATAAGTAAATACGTCATAAGTATTTTCCAAATAAATGTTTATTATAATAATTATCATTATGTTTTGTCTCCTAAGAATTGATTTCCAATTCTAAGTAAATTCATTGTGTCATGTATTGTGCAGTTCTATAAAGTCAATGATTAAACAACTGTCGAGAAAATTTATATTTATGTTTATTTTAGGCTATTTAATTGACAAAGATTATTTATATTCAAAGTATACAACATTATGATTGGATACATATATTCATTATGTAATAATTACTGCAGTCAAATTAATTAATACTTCCATCATCATTCATGCTGAACATGAGATCCTCAGAATTTGTCATTTTGAGGCTTAGGTTTGTGCTCTGTGATCAGTATCACCATGGTTTCTGTACCCATCAGTTCCCTAATAACTGCTGGATCTACTCTCTGATTCTGTGTGACTTTTTGAGATTCCACTGATAGGTGAGATCATTAAATATTTGTCTTTATCTGATTAAGTATTTATCTGATTTATTTCACCTAGAATAATGTCATTCAAGTTCATACACATAGTTGCAAATGACAAGATTTCCACCTTATTATGGCTGAATAATATTCCATTGTATAAATGCACCATGTATTTTTTAATCATTCATCCATCAATGGATGCTTATGTTGTTTCCATATCTTATCTATTGTGAATAGTACTGCAGAAAACAAGAAGGTACAGATGTCTCTTCAAGATGCTTATTTCATTTCCTTTGGAAATATAACCAATAGTAGGATTATTGTATCATATAATAATTCTATTTTTAATTTTTTGAGGAATCTTTGTACTGTTTTTCCATAGTAGCTATACCAATTTTAATTTCCAACAACAGTATGCTAAAGTTCCCTTTTCTCCAGATCCTGACAACACATGTTACCTTGCCAAAGGCCATACCTCATTGTGGTTTTGATTTGCACTTCTGTGCTGTTAAGTGATGTTGAGCACCTTTTCATAATCTGTTGGCTATTTGTGTGTCTTCTTAAGAAAATGTTTATTCAGATCAGGCCATATGATTATTTTTAAATCAGGTAGTTGTGGGTTTTTTTGCAATTGAGTTGTGTGAGTTTCTTATCTGCTTTGGATATTAACCTCTTATATATGATTTAGAAATATTTTCTCCCTTTCCATATGCTGTTGTTTCTTTTGCTGCACAGAGGGTTTTTGGTTTGATATAAACCCACTTGTTGCTTTTGCTTTTCATGTCATATTAGAAAACTCATTCCCAAGATCAATGTCAAGGAAATTTTTTTGTTTTCTTCTAGAACTTTTATTGTTTCAGATTGTACATTTAAATCTTTAATCTGTTTTGAATTATTTTTTGTACAGAGTGTAAAATAAGGATTTAGTTTTATACTTTTTGTATGTGAATGTCCAGTTTCTCCAACATTTTAAATTAAAGATTCATTCCTTTTCCATTGTGCATCTTTGGCATTCTTCTTAAATACCAATTGCTTATATGTATGTAGCTTTATTTCTGAGCCCTCTGTTCTGTTCATTATTTGTACATGTCTGTTTTATGAGAGTAACATAGTGATTTGATTACTATTAGTTTGTAATAGAGTTTGAAATCAGGGCCTGTGATGCCTGTAAATTTGTTACTCTTTATCAAAACTGCTTTTCCAATTTGTGGTTCTTTATTGTTTTATACAATTTTTAGGATTGATTTTTTATTCTTGTGAATAATGTAATTGGAATTTATAATAGATATTAAATCTGCAGAATGTTTTGATAGTAGAGATTTTTAAATTTTTTGTTTAAATAAAAATTGAATATATTAAAAGACACATTGCTTTCTCCCTAAAAGTCTTCCTAATCTCCCTAAAAATGCTCCCTATCACTTGAAACAGTATGAAGATTTTAACAATATTTAGTTCTTCCAACATATGAGAATGGGATCACTCCATTTATTTGTGTCTTCTACAGTTTCTTTCATGAGTATCTTATAGATTTTAGTGTACTGATTTTTCACCTCAATTAAATTTCTTTTATTTTGTGATCATATTTTAAATGGGATCATTTTCTTACTTTTTCAACTAATTCATTGTTCAGATATAGAAATACAACTAATTATTATGTAGTGATTTTTCTATCTTGCAGATTTTCTGAGTTGATTTCTCAATTCTAACAGGTTTTTTTGAGGAATTTAAAAGGCATTCTATATATAAAATTGTGCCGTTTTTAATCTACAAGGAATTGGTGGCTCTATACTATTGGTCATTTAATAGAGAAAACTAGAAAGATTTTTGAGAGGTAGTCACAGTATTAAAGGTGATAGAATATAATTTGGAAGAGAAATAATATAGTTTTTTTAAAAAGGAAATGACTATCATCATGAATAATTTTTAAGACACAAATCTTAGGAAGAGGTTATTATGTAGGACCTGTATCCGGAATGCTGAGATATACTTAAACAGCTTTATTTTCTTGAGTGTTACATGGCATATTACATTGTCAAGATGTGTGGCCATGCCTAAAATTCTGTCTGTGTGTAAGTGAAATGGGTGCATAAGCTGAACCCCATGACCTGCAAGGATCCAGTGAATTACCAAAGCAGCAGAGTATTATCGCTGTTCAGGAGGATTGGTGAATTTGTGGTTTTTTGATTCTGCTACTTACCATTTTACAGAAAAGAATGGAAAATTTGGCTTTTCCTTAGGCATGGTCCTTAACAGGCTTAAATAATGACAAGATTTTTAAAACTCCACAAGAATGAAGAAAATCTTGTCCTGTCTCTTGAGGTCTGCGTTAATGCTGTGGGTAAGTCATTCAAGTTTTCCCGTTCATGATTTATTTCCCATCTGTAGACAATTGTGTTATGACTAAGATCACTTCTGTCCATAGCAGCTACAGATTTTTTTTTTTTGGTACCGGGGATCAAACTCCGGTCCTTTCACTTGTGCAGCAGGCGGCAAAACCACTGAGCTAAATCCCCGGCCCCTAGCTATAGATTTTTAAACGTATTGCTTTGTGTGACAACTAAGCTTAACTGTCAATTTGATTGGGAGGCACCTATGGGTAAAGCATATCTCTGTGTATGTCTGGGTGGGTTATGGAGGCCTGGCCTTGGGTGCTATTCTGGACTCTGACCTCTTCCTCTCTGGCATTATTCCTCTTCTCTGATTCCCAGATACCATGAAGTAATTAGCTTTGCCCTACTAAGCCTTCTGCCATGATGTTCATGACTTGAAGCCAGTTAACCATGGACTGACTTGTGAGCCAAATACATGTCTCTTAAATTATGGGTCTCAGATATTTTATATAACAGCAGGAAAGCTAGTACTCCTTGGATTGTCTGTAACATCTTCATCCAGTTGGTGTGGGGTGAGGTGTTAGAATGCAGACTCAGACTGCTAGGTAGATTTAACAAAGGATGGTAGAAATAGGATGGGAGATTGGAATTCAG